TTTTTCAAAATATTCTAATTTACTGGCTTTTACCTGTATATAACAAATTCTACCTTTATATTGCCTATAAAGGTGGAATTTGTTGACTATATTTACTTTCTATTGAATCCTAGAAAAAATTAATTGCAGTGCTAGACAATAAAAAACAACAAGACATTTCTAAGGGATTGCCTTAGAGTCAATGAGTCGATGCAATCAACTGGTTTTTCTTATCTAGAAACATCTGATCAGTCTGACTGTATGATCTGGTTGAATTGTCTCTGCAAAGTGTCTTTAGATGACATGTGTTGTGAAGCTGGATTTTGTTTCAAACGCACAGGGTTCTGACTGTTTATAAAGTTAACTGCATCCAGAGGTGATTTCTGATAGTTGGTCTCCATAAATCCATCCAATATTAGATGGAACCAAATGAAACATGAAAGTCTGATGTCAAACCAGGTCAGGAGCAGACTGGAACAAAAACATGTCTGTTATCTACCGTGCTTTCTTTGTCTTTCTCCAAACACAGTCATCACTTCTTCACTGGTCCCTAAACACAGTCCTGAGCAGAGCCGTCCTCCTCTTCGGGCCCCCAGTCCTCGAACCGCATCTGAGGAGAGGGAGCAGCAGGGTGGAGGTTGTGGATGTCATCCATGACCTCTGGGTCCGTTTCCTCGATGGGGCCGATGGCCATGTGGCCTCCTTCGTCACGGTGCGTCCGGACGTGCTTCCTCAGGGCCGCTGGCTCCTTAAAGGTGCGGTTGCAGAAGGGGCAGCAGCAGGGCCTCTCCCCTGTGTGGATCAGCTGGTGGTGTTTAAGGTGCTGCAGGCGACTCAGACGCTTCCCGCAGATGGCGCACACATAGGGTTTCTCGCCTGTGTGCGTGCGCCTGTGTTTGCGCAGACCGTCCAGGTGGCGGAAGCAGTTGCCGCACTCAGAGCATGAGTACGGCTTCTCCCCGGTGTGTATGCGCAGGTGCGTTTTGAGCGCTCCGGATTCACGGAAGCGACGGCCGCAGACTGCGCATGGGTACGGCTTCTCGCCCGTGTGGATGCGGATGTGCTTCTTCAGGCTGGAGATCAGACGGAAGGTCTTGCCACACTCCAAGCAGCGGTGAGGCCGGTCGATGGAGGGCTCCGTGGCGTTGTCGGGGGCAGAAGGGCCAGCAGACTCCTCAGCTCTGCCTGTTGAAACTGTGTCACTTCTGCCCGCAACAAAAGTCCTGGGCAAAGGTTTCTGTTCGTTGAGACCTCCCTGCTGTTGGGGGGGCCCCCCACATTCACGGCTGAGTCTTTGGTGACGAAGCTGGTTGGAGAACGACCGCTGAGCACCTCCTTCACCTCCAACCTGGCCGTAAGCGATGTCCCCTACGTTAAGGGATGATCCGTCTCCATCTCGGCTGTCCTTCCTGTTAGGCTGACCAGAACCTGAAGGAAGTCCCTGTTCCTCTTTGATCTCGAATCTGGGTGCTCCACTGGGACCCTGGGGCTGCCTCTCATCTTTAGGAGCAAAAAAAAAACAAACAAAAAAAACAGATAAAACAAGTTAAAAGGACAAAAGCATTTATATTCTTAAAGTAACACTGACTTTTAGCCACTAGGGGGCATCAGACCTGTAATATCCATGTTTATCTCCCCCTGAAGGCCTCTGGCAGCACTGCACTATTGCAAAATTAAAGGTACAGTGGAGGATTTTTGCAAATTTCTGAAAAGACCCGGCATTTCAAAAAATGCACATGCTCAACCCTGTACCCGCTCCTGAGAGGGAACGTCTTCGAGCTCATTTCTCCTCGTGCACGCTCTGTTTAAAAGTTGCTGTTTGCATCGCTCATACAAGCTTAATTTCCAAAAGATTTGCAATTTTTTCACTATTTCAGACTCAACACCCGTAAGTGAAAATGGGGACGAGCACGTAAGACGGCCTTACGTGAACATCACCACAATAATTGACAATTAGGAGGATCACTTATTTTCACCCATCTATCTCCATCTGGAAAAAGAACATCCTCCACTATATCGTTAAAAAAAAAGAAAAAAAAAAAAACAACAACTTCTAATATAATTATTATATTAGCATTAATTTATTTTACGAATTAAAAATAATCTTTTTTGACATCAGCTTAGTTAATAAAAACTTAATTAGAAGTGCGAACATTACCTCTATAAACAAAAATAACATATATCTACAACAGGTCACTCATATTTTTAAATAAATTTTAAATATATTTTCTGTTTTTTGACAATTCAATGCATCTAGACAGTGGAGAAAATGAATAAATGAGAAAATAAATAAGAGACTTCAGCTGTCAGCTATATACCCCATGCACCTTTTTTTCATCCTTTCGGCACCTTCTACTTTTTTTTGACTATCAGAGCTGATGTAACGAGTACATTTCTCCATTGTGAGATCAATTAAGTCATTCAAATAATCAATCAATCAATCACTAGTGTTCAAAAAAACTTAGCCGACTTTTCATCATTTTTAGCCAAAGTGATGAAGATTCACTGCCAAGCGTCTAAAGAGCCACTTGCAGCTCTGATGCCATAGAATGCAGACCCCTGTTCCAGAGTGTAACAATGACCAAAACAAATTACAGGTACTGACCATTTCTGCAAAACTACTTCCCAAAACAAACCTCAGTTGGTGCCTCTGTTCTTGTCCTTCTAGTATTCATATATATTTTCTGTGAGCAAATTACTTGCTGTTTTGGAAAAAGAAAAATTGTAAAGATTCTTTCCTCACTGTTTTTTCATATTCATCAAGACTTGGAAAACGCAACAGCAATACTCAATTTCTCCTTATTGTTGGGAAACCCTGTCCTTCTATGGTTGTTTTTTTTCTTTATAGTGAAGCAATGATAGATGGCTCAGCAGGGGCGGAGCTACATGGGGGGCCAGGGGTGGCCATGGCCCCCCTTAGCCAATCATTGGCCACCCCTACCATTTTTTTTGCCGTCTAATACAGACAGTGGCATCAGTAATACTACCAAAAGGAATGTTTAAACGTATTAAACATTTAAAATTTTCATATATTAATAGTTACTAGACAACTAAAACACTGTGGTTAATAGGGGTGTGGGAAATAATCGTTTTGGCAATATATCGTGATATTCGGCTGCCCAATATAATATCGATCTTTCACTTCTTAGTATCGATTTAAAAAAAAAAATGGTTACATAAAACATTGATGGGAAAATGGGCTACCTCTGCACCACCACTCTGGCAGAAAGCGCTGTGGGGCCCTTCAACTGTGCGCGCAGCACCAAATCTGTATTTGAGGCAATCACAGTGGAAGAAAACCCCAAACAACATGGATAATAATACCTAATCAATATTTTCTGATGAAAATATACAGCACTTGCTGTTTTATCTCATCATTTGATTTTGATAGCTGGGGAAAATATGGCAATATATAGCGATACTGCAATATCGTGATAATATCGTATCGTGACCCAAGTATCGCGACATGTATCGAATCGCAACACTCATGCCAATACTCACCTCTAGTGGTTAATTATGCACATCTAAATACTAACATTAAAGTTGATATGTTCAGAATTCATGCTCTTTTAAGACCCTAATTTTGTCTTTTATGGGGTAAAGAGAAAAAGATATGTCTCTGCAAGTCATCAAGGAGTTTTCAGTGAAATCATAGATAAATAACTACTTTAATAATAATTGAAAAATCCATTTAATGTAGATATTAGTACATGTAATATTAATGTTATGCAGAACAATTCTTGATAAATGTAGGTAAGTAATAACAATGGATAAGATGTTTGTCCCAGGCATTTTGTCCACTAAACCTTTTATTAAGACAGCATGAATGTTTAAATATATGCATCTATTTGTGATCAAAAGGAAAGTAGAAGGAAAGTATTGTTTGTCTTTAGATGTTGTGCTGGTTCCTGTTTACCTGATCCTCTGGTATCTGAGCACATGTGAGAGGAGCTGGGTGAGAAGGAGTCCAGAGTGTGGCTGGTCACAGAGCCATCTGGCTGGATTGACAGCTGGCACATTTTGTATTCATCTCTCGGTTCAAAGCCTTGAAGAGATTCATCCACGGAGCCTCCAAGACCCAGATCCACGCCAGCCCCGTTCACATTCCTTTGGTTCTGGTGCTCTCGGTCCAATCCCGGCGTCAAAGAGGCCATGGCAGAGAGTGAGGGGGCAAACACCGACTGGCTGACCTGCTGGGGGCCCGTGTAGGAGACCTGCAGCTGGTCTATGAGCTTCTGAGCGCTGCACAGACACTCCTGTAAGGTCTTCAGCTCCCGCTCGGACACCTCCAGCCGAACCTTCAGCCTCTGGTTCTCCTGCTCCTTGTGCAGAAGCTCCTGCTGGGTCTCGTTCAGCACGATCACCACCTCTCCCAGCAGAGTGTCAACAGCGGCGGACATGGCGGTCTGGATGGTCGGAGCCAGGCGGGACTTCAGCGAGGTAACCGTCATGCCGCCCTGAGAGGCTCCGTACGCCGCTTTGGTGTCCATCCTGTCCGGGATGTTGATGATGCTCTGTTTGCGGCTTCCAGCGTTAGACTGGGAGGCGTCCATGCTAGCCGCGTACCCGGCCCGCCTGGAGCTCATCGTTTTTAATTATTCCGCTATAGGACCGGGCAGGCGCTTAAAAGTGCGTAGTTCTCCTGTTGGGATGCGTACGATCATCAGATGATCCGGTTACATCTGTTTAACGGTCCAGATGACGCTGCAGAGGAAAACTGGACTTTAACGACGCAGCGGCCCAATTAGAGCCGCGAAGCTTCGGAACCACCGAACTCCTGAGCAGGAATCAGCGAGGTGTCCTCCAGCTGTTAATACAGTCCATCGTTTAATGTTCAGGTTCTGTAAATACTGCGGCCCTTAACGGAGATCCAGAGCGACAGAGGCCTGTCGCATTTTTATGACGAAAGAAACAAGGGCGCTCCTCAGATTCTTCTTCTTCTATGTTGAATGGCGGATTGCAGCTCATAGGTGCATACCGCCACCTACCGTACATGATTGTGTAGCTCTATAGTTCCATCTCTTATATTCTATTTTTTATTTTTGTGTTATGTAAAAATAAAAACAATGCTTTATGAATAACAAAACTTTCTTCCCTATCTCCATCTGTCCCTAAATGTTTTTTAATACTCTATTTTCTCCCTTTTTCCATAATTACTTTCCCCATCCTCTCTCTTTCAGTTGCATATTTAATGCAATCCATGAAAACATGATCCACATTTCCTTTTCTTTCACAACCCTCACATAAATCATTATTTCTCTTCCCTACTACAAACAAAAACTCATTCAAGTAGGTGTGTCCAGTTCTTAATCTAGTATAAATTATCTCTTCCCTTCTGTTTCTTTCTCCATAATTTTTAACAATTACAGATTTTTGAACCCTATATAATCTTCTCCCTTTATCTTCATTCCATATCTTTTACCAAAATTCTGTTTCTGTTATTGATTTACCTTCCCCTTTTCCAAACGGGATCTGATCTATATTCTGCTTTCCTAAAGCTTTTTAAGCTATCTTGTCTGCTATTATATTTCCTCTCACCCCTTTGTGTGCTGGAACCCAACAGAACTGAACATCTGTTCCATACCTAAATAACCTGAACAAACTCTGATAAATTTCTAATACAGGGTCTTTCCTATTATTTCCTCTTGAGTGAATGCTTTCTGTTGCAGCTTTAGAATCTGTGCAAATCACCACTCTGTCCGGTCTAACATCCTCCACCCACTGTGGTCTTTGGTGTTTTATGGCACTTTACAGACTATGTGTATTACCGCCATCAACTGGACGGAGATGTAATTAAAAAAAAAACCCTATAAATCTTCAAATCTTAAAAACAAAAAAAAATAAAAATAAAAAAATAAATACATACTTATACACTCATACACACATACATACTAAATCCTCTCATCTAATTTTGTGTCTTTTAGATACTTAATAAGTGCTTTAACTATATCATGTGATTGATGCTTCCTTAATAAATGAACCATATCTACTGAACTCCCCAGTCCCTTTCCAGTTCTTTCCTCTCTTATATATATATTTTCTACAATAAATGAACACATGTTCTACTCCTGTTTCCCCACAATAAGAACAATCACCTGATGGATGTTTCCCTATAATTTTAAACCACTATTTAAACTAGTATGCCCAGTCCTCAACCTGTTTATCCATACTTCCTCTCTCCTTTTCATTATACTATGATTTCTTATGATTACCTCCTTCTGTATTTTATGTAAATTTCTTTTAAATTCCATCTCTTATTTATTTTATCTTTAATAATTACTTTTATTTCTGCTCTACTTAATGGGACATCATATTAAATTTATCTTGCTTTAACTGCTTCTTTAGCCAACTTATGTACTTTTTCATTACCTACAATTCCTTTATGCTCATGAGATTCTTCTTCTTTTCTATTATGGCGGATTGCATGCAACTTTAAGGTGCATACCGCCACCGACTGTACATGAGTGTGTAGCAACATCCATTTACATCAAATTCTATTTTTTTTTTTTTATTCTGTAGATAAATAAATAATGCTTTCCTTAATCTGTGAATATCCTTTATATTTCCTTCATTTCCCAGTATTCCTTTTAGACTCCATTCCTGGCCTGTCTTTCCAACCATCCTTCTCAATTTCTCCCTTTCATGTTCAGAAGTTTTACAGTTCATCAGTACATGTTCTACATTTTCTTTTTCTCCACATCCTTCCAATGTATCTTTATTTTTCCTCCCTATTAAATATAAATTGTCATTTAAATAGGTATAACCCACTCTTAATCTGATCATTATTACCTCTTCCCCTCTTGAGATTCTGCACCCCGAGTAATGACACAAAGGCACAAAAGAAAACTAATGAAAAGAACCCACTTTTTTTGACTCATTATAAATTACCTCAAACTTCATCTGATTTTGAATTTTATCGATGTTCTTTTTATTTTTTAAAAATTGCCTTGCTCTGTTGTTCTCTTGCTATCTCCTTTTGGCTTTTTTATTATTCAGCCCGTATTAATATGTGGCTCTCCCCTGCCTTTACATTTTTTGTAGAGATTTAAGTAAAGTAAAAAAAAAAAAAAAAGACTTTATGGTCACATTATGATTTCAGGTCAGAATGGAGGTTTGCGAGGTGCCCTCATTATCTCTCTCTACCCCCAAACCTAAATCCAACCCTTCCAAAATTACCAGTCATTATAAATAACCTTTAATTATGCAATCATTAGGGAAGTAAAAGTCTACAGTTACAGTAAGTTCAATTTTATGGTAGTTAGTTGACATATGAAAGTATGAATATGAAAATAACATCAGGAATTCTAGTCTGAAAAAAGAAAACTGTAAAACTCTTAAATGTGCTTTAAAACATTTCTGTTTAATGTAGAGTAATCCAATTCAGGTTTGAGCAATCTAAAAAATGTAAAGTCTGGAGTTTACACTTTTCCAATACAGTTCTTGTAGAAAAGTCTCCATCATATAAGCAGGCATGGTCTGTGTTTCTGTGAAGGTTTAAATCAAACAAATAAACCAAAATCTTAGTGTTCAGGTTTTTTTTGTATTTATGTCTGAAGTGTTACTGTTTTATTGTTTTCTTGCTTTCATTTTCATGTTTTAAATTGTTTTACTTTTTCACTTTCTAGTAACATTGCTTTCTCTTTTTTTAAAGTAATCTATAAAATACCATTATCCCTCCAGTATATCAATATTCTGCATTGATAATTTCGTACAGTAGGCCTAAATACAATCTGCACACCATTAGATTACAGACTTGTCAGTGGATCATTTGACTAGACCCCCCAGGTCCTCTGGCTCTAATCTAGCCTGGACACCCAGAACCAAACATGGAGAAGCAACATTTAGTTCGATTTGTTTAGAGAGTGATTGAGCTGTCTAAACTTGAATGAAACATCATCCGATTGTTTGAACTCCAACTTTTCTTTACCTACCTCCATTATGCCACTGCACTGTAAAATTCCCCCCTCTTTGTTTTATATCTTGTTCATGTCCAGCATTTTTACTCACCTTGTTATTGAATAACTGCGCCTCTCAGAGGTTTACACTCAATGTAAAAGATTACACAGAGAGAAATCAAATGTTTTTCTGTTTCAATCAGAGGGAACATATGTTTGTCAAAAGCTACTTTATCCTTTTTTGTAAAAATAATGAGAATGTCGTTAAATCATAGGAGGTGTTATGGCTACACTGTCCAGTAGATGGTGCTCTAGGACATCTCTTCATGTTCCCAATAAAGGCCTCCGCTGCAGAAAGCAAAAACTCTGTACACAACAGAGCGCGTGGAAAACATTAAGACTTAAAGGGAAAAAAATAAATTTGATTTATTAGGAAAAATAATACAGAATTGACAGCAGATAGTCACTATTTTCATTTTTTAATTCACACTAATGACTGCTGGTTCTGCTAAAAACATATAAAACTGCAGTAAAGACATTCAGTTGGACATTTTATAAGAATAACAAAGGATTGTTTTTCCTATGTATCTGGGGCTTTCTGTTTATTCACAATTCAGTTCAGTTAATTTATATAGTGTCAATTCACAACATGTCATCTCAAGTCACTTTACAGAGAAAATCAACCAGATCATACAGTCAAAATGGTTCAAAGTTGTCTATCTAATGTAAAAAGTTGTTTGCATTAACTCATTGACTCAAAGGCAATCCCTCAACCTAAGCATGCTTGTAGCAATAGTGGAGAGGAAAACTCCCCTTTAACAGGAAGAAACCTCCAGCAGAACCAGAAGGCTCAGTGTGAGCGGCCATCTGCTGAGGCCGACTGGGGTTTAAAGGGGACAGCGTTTTTTTTTTTACATTGGCCTCATGATTTTACGTTATTACATCATGTTCTACTCATGAGTCGGACAGTGATTCGCCTACATGTTATGAATGCTGGCGTACCATAAATGATAAATTATGAACAGTTTAGTTTGTGCCTTCAAGTTGTTGCACTTAGAAAGACGTTACATGGATATAACCGAATATCTTCAGAACAGCTCCAAATGACACAAAACTCATATGGGTGAGTAGAACATGATGTAATAACGTAAAAACAAGGGCCCAATGTAAAAAAAAAAAACAAAAAAAAAAACGGCGTCCCCCTTTAAGGAGGCAGAAGAGGACACAGAGAAAGATACAAAAGGTAACTGTTAACCATCTCCAAAGGCGGCCCCTTCCAGCACATCCAGCCAGTCACAGTCAGAGAAAGAGGACTGCTCTGAAAAACAGCAGCACAGCTGACATTTCACAGCATGCTAGTCTGTTTGCATTAATTAAAGATGTGGGCTGCACAGTGATGCAGTGGGTAGCAGTGCTGCCTTGCAGCAAGAAGATTACAGGTTCAATTCCTGGTCTGGGGTCTTTCTGCATGGAGTTTGCATGTTCTCCCTGAGCATGTGTGGGTTCTCTCTGGGTACTCTGGCTTCCTCACACAGCCCAAAAAACATGACTTTTAGGTTAATTGGCTTCTCTAAATTCTCCTTAGATGTGCGTGAATGGTTGTTTGTCTCTGTGTTGCCCTGCAATGGACTGGCGACCTGTCCAGGGTGTACTCTCTCTGAAGTAAGTTGTTTTACACATCTGTTTTTTGTCATGATCGGTTTTACGAATCTGACCCACATGCAGAGACAACCACTAAGAGAGCATGGAAAAAGTTTAAAGCTGAAGTCTGTAAGTTTTTAAAAATCACTTTTTTTGTCATATTGGCTAAAACTGTCCCTATGCCCAGACAGCAGTACATGTGATATGTAATCTGTGAAAAAAACTGCTTCAATTGGTCCCGCCTACTGCCTGTATTGCAATCTGGAAAGAATATTTCGGGACGAGTCAAAACAACCAATCACAGCCAGAGGAGCGTATGATGGAGTGTCAATCACAGCTCACACACG